TATTGAACCGTTCGATACAGTCCTTTCGCTTCGCTCTTCCCCCCACCCCCACCCCTCCATCTGTCCCTTCCCTCTATGTGTTTGCTCAGACTTCTCCACAGTTGTTTTTCTCCTTGAAAACTGTAAGAAAAATGAGTAAAATAACTTCCTACTCACTCGGTCTGGGTCACTTTTCTCTGCTTTAGATTTACAAAACAACAAGAAACTGCTTGAAGTATGAAAAAGATCACAACTGACACGGCTGCCAAGAAAGAGAAGCTCACATTTGCAAGCAAATCTCTTCAAGCTGGACAGATCAGGGGTTGAATGCAAATGTCGCTATGATATACACACAACCAAATGTTGTTGGAATAAAAGCCAGAGGCCATACATGCAGTACCTGCAGAGAGATGACACCGCGCCGCTGGCTGCCCGCGGGTTGCTTGTTTGCTGTGAATGGAGATGTGATGAATACAGATATGCCGTTGAAAGTGTCTGGGACTGACCTTCTGTGAAGTGGATGGAAAAGTGTGACTGTGTGACTTTAACACATCTCCAGGAGAATGCTGAGACCAATCTGTTTCAAGTAAACAACCTGAGCATTTCAATGCAGACTGAAAGTTCTCTCCGAATGTAAAATCAATTTCCCACAGTGGCTACAGAATGAGGGATTTTTCTTTTTATGCTCTTCAGAGCGGTTGTGGTTTATTAAATGAGAACAAAGATGATGAATAGTTTTTAGAATATGTGTGACCAGTAACCCTTGACTGAGTTAGTGGTATAGTCATGCGGTGAAGGTGATCTGAATGGTTGGTTGGGGAGACATAGGTCACAACCCAATGAGACAGCTGGTTTTCTCTGTATTTGAAAAACCTACAGCATCACGAGAGAGTCCATCCTGCGAAGATTAAAGCAGTGCACTTGTGGCCAAACTACTGTGGCTTTGCTATTAGGTGTGAAAGCTACATTTAACTTAAAATGCTGGTATGAATTAGTTATGACACAATACAAATACACGCTCATTACATATACTGTTTGATTGTTAGCAAAGGTTGCAGCTGTTCCATTCTATAGCTCACTGACCAGAGTGACTGAATTTAGTCAGTGATTGATGGTGAGAGGACCAATGCTAGAGGAGTACATCTGCATGTCTGTGCCTTTAATTACACAGCATTGTTATCACTATGGTATAATACATAAAATCATATATAATCATATTTGATTCACAAAGTATTTTTATTGTAATAAAAAATGAATAAGAAAGTTTATTTGAAAATAATGAAGTTTAGAATCGGTCATTTCATATTAGAGCATAGCATGCATACCATAGCATAGCATATCATAGAATAGTATACCATTCCATTGCGTATCATAGAATAGTATACCATAATATAGCCTAGCATAGCATAGCATAGCATAGCATATCATAGAATAGTATACCATAATATAGCCTAGCATAGCATAGCATAGCATAGCATCGCATCGCACAGCATCGCACAACATGCATATCATAGCATAGAATAGTATACCATAATATAGCATAGCATAGCATAGCATAGCATCGCATCGCATCGCATCGCACAGCATCGCACAACATGCATATCATAGCATAGAATAGTATACTATAGCATAGCACAGCGTATCAGTTAAAATATGCTTCTATGGTGAATCCACAGTAAAGAATAAATCAAAACAAAAACAATTTATAAGGAATAAAATGGAGGCAAGATCAGCATGTCACAGATATGCAGCCTATAATAACATTTATAGCAGTATATAAGTAAGTCTTTAGTGATCAATACAATGATCAATAAGAAGAAGATACTGCGAGTCAGAATTCTCCACTACTTGGATCATTCCACTACAGAGTAGCCCCTAATAGCACATGCTCCGCCATCTTTTGTCTTTAACTATGAGGTGTGATCTGTTAGCAAGTTCCTGTCAGAGGAGCCCCAGTTGGTACATGGATAACAGTTCCAGTATGTCTTCTGAAACCAGGCCATTAGGGACTTTAAAAGTAATTATCAAAGATGATTTCTTAAACAAATCGAGAGCATGGGCAGAGTCATTACAAGTGACTTAATATGTTCACTTTTCTAGGTTCTTCTGAAAAGTCTTGCTGCTGCATTTTGAACAATTTGAACACTATTCACTGACTTCTGATAGATATCTCTTATAAGATCAGTACAGTAACTCAGCAAAAATAAAAGCATGAATCACAGTCTGAATTCATTCAGTATAATAGAAACATCAGGGAAACTTTACATTTTTTAAAACATTTTTTTATTAACAGTAAATCAGTAAATAAACTCTGGTTTTCATGAAGTGTAAACATGGGCTACTGCAGTATAGTATATGGACATTACTGCCAATAATTCATGTCTTTCCTAACAATAAGAACACGATCTCTTCATCAGCCTGTTTATTTCTTAGGATTTGAAGCATGTATTTACATTAAATGTCATCTGAGGCCAGAAGACTCCACAAAGTACAAATCTGAGTGTTATGTCATTATGAAATGAGCCCTTCAAAAATAACTTTGTGAAAGGATGTCACCTTTCTTTGCATAAACCCTCTTTAGATGAGCTCCCACTTTTAATTGATGTGGTTATAATTACATCAATTGATACACTTGAAAGGTAATTACATTTGTTTATGCTTCACAATACGATTAGCTTAGACTTAACACAGTTACAACCCCCAGTAATGAGTGGTACAGCCATATGTGCACCAATATGTTTTAAGGCTCCACTTTTAATACACTGACTAAACAGCCTGATTCTCTATTCAATACAGAGACTATAGAGTCAAATACACCAGCTGAGGCACAAAGGACTAAAAGAATAAAATAGTTAACAATCGAGCAATTTACCGTAGTATTTATAGCAGTCTTAGATCAGGCCAAGATTATTATCTTCCTTATTTTAATGTATAGGTTGGGACTATCAGAGGTGACAAAGTCAGGAAGTGGGATTTGGAAACCTGAGTGTAGCCTTCATGCTCCTTCTCTTTGACTGTGCTCTGACTCTGTCCACTTGTACCATAGATTTATGGCTTCCACTGTCCATAAACGGGACTAACTGTGGTAGTATGGGGACCAGGTCAATTGGAGGCAGAGTGTTGGAGCTGTCACAAGAACACTGTGTTTCATCCACTCTGTCCATCACATTAAAACAGAGGGGCCTTGTAAAAGACACCGAGGCAGACAGGATTCATGGGAATAATGAAATGATGGAGGCGGCGGTGGGTCGATAAGAGGAGTGACAGGCGGGCAGATTTCAGCTGAAAACACAGGCACTAATATAGAGAATGCAGAAATGATTAATTAAATGAACAAGACTGAATATTTTATTGTTTCACTGCATTAATTGTTTCCAGACAAATATCCCACTTGTGGGCTAATAGAGCTGTGCAGAATTTGGCTGACAGGTTACAACTTAAAAAGTTCATGAAAAGTATGTCCTACAGGACAAATGGTCCAGCTTCTGACTACTAAAAACTAAATCATTCTCCAACGATTATTATAGGCTGAAGTTCTTGCTGGGGACATGTGCATGTGTGAACAAAAGGAGATTTTGTGACTACAGAAGTAAATCATACTATATAGGCTATATAAACAACAGAGAGAATGAACTGTCTCTTCACTCAGTTCCTTGGATGGGCTCAC